TATTGGGAGGTCTAGGCTATCCTGTCAGTGGCAGCAGGAGTTGGAAGAGAAGATAGGTTGTGTGCTGCTGCCTGTCTCAGCCCCAGTTCTTTCAGTGAATTTTTGTCATTGATGCTGGGATTCTGGACCACGCCACAAAAGATTCTCAGGACAACTAGGTATAAAGTAAGTCAAGTGTCTTAATAATAGCCATGTTTATGATTTGGGTGGCTTTTTTTTCTTTATTAAAAATTTCCACCTCCTCCCATTTTCCTCTCACTTACCCCACTCCTCCTCCCTCTCCCTCTCCAGTCCTAAGAGCAGTCAGGGTTCCCTGCCCTGTGGGAAGTCTAAGGTCCTCCCCATTCCATCCAGGTCTAGGAAAGTGAGCATCCAAACAGACTAGGCTCCTAAAAAGCCAGTCCATGCAGTAGAATCAAAACCCAGTGTCATTGTCCTTGGCTTCTCAGTCAGCCCTCATTGTCAGCCACATTCAGAGAGTCTGGTTTGATCACATGCTCCATCAGTACCAGTCCAGCTGGTCTTGGTGAGCTCCCATTAGATCAGTCCCACTGTCTCAGTGGGTGGATGCACCCCTCGCATTCCTGACTTTCTTGCTCATGTTCTCCCTCCTTCTGCTCCTCATTTGGACCTTGGGAGCTCAGTCCAGTGCTCCAATGTGGGTCTCTGTCTCTATCTCCATCCATCATCTGATGAAGGTTCTATGGTGATATGCAAGATATTCATCACTGTGGCTATGGGATAAGGCCAGTTCAGGCACCCTCTCTGCTGCCCAAGGAACAAGCTGGGGACATCTCCTTGGGCACCCGGGAACCCTTCTAGAGTCAAGTCTTTTGCCAACCCTAAAATGGCTCCCTTAATTAAGATATCTACTTCCCTGCTCCCATATCCACCTTTCCTCCATCCCAACCATCCCATTCCCCCAAGCTCTGCCCAATCCTCCCTTTCTCCCTTCTCTCTCCCCATCTCCCCTTCCCCCCACCCTCCCACACCCATGCTCCCAACTTTTGCCTGGCAATCTTGTCTACTTCCAATATCCAGGAGGATATATATATATATATATATATATATATATATATATATATATATTTTTTTTCCTTTGGGTTCACCTTATTTAGCTTCTCTAGGATCACAAATTACAGGTTCAATGTCCTTTATTTATGGCTAGAATCCACTTAGAGTGAGTACATACCATATTCATCTTTTTGGGTCCGGGTTATCTCACTAAGTAAAGTGTTTTTATTTAATTTGGGTGGCTTTTTAAGAGAATTGTTCAGTGAAGTTTCACCCCTACTTATCCTTTTTTGTATTTGTTAAATGAGATCATTGGATGAGTCCATAGATGACAAGGGTTCAAGCTGTTCTTAATATACCAGGTTACAAGGGGTTAAGACATAACTTTTGAATGTCAAAAAGAAACCTTACTATCTCTTTGAGTTTTAGGTTTACAACTGGGAAAAGTCAAATTAAGGTCATCTGGTTAGTGTGGTTCATCAGTGTTAACATTCTCAATTGAAATCTCTATATAAGATGATTATAGACTGTGTACTCCACCTTTATTGCTTTAGAATTCACAGCCCTTAGCTGGAGTTTTCACAACCAGACGTAATTTGCCTATTTTAAAAAAAAATATTATGCCTTTTTCCTCTTCTGGGGACGGTGCTTAGAGGCACTCAGAATGGTCCAGCGTTTGACATCCTACAACACAGCCTCCAACAAAACTAGGCTGTCTCGAACCCCTGGCAACAGGATTGTTTACCTTTACACCAAGAAGGTTGGAAAAGCACCTAAATCAGCGTGCGGTGTGTGCCCAGGCCGACTCTGAGGGGTTCGTGCTGTGAGACCGAAAGTCCTCATGAGATTGTTGAAGACAAAGAAGCATGTCAGCCGGGCCTATGGTGGCTCCATGTGTGCCAAGTGTGTCCGTGACAGGATCAAGCGGGCTTTCCTTATTGAGGAGCAGAAAATTGTTGTGAAAGTGTTGAAGGCACAAGCGCAGAGTCAGAAAGCGAAATAAATGTGCGGCTTTTTAAATAAAAAGAAATTATTATTGCATAGGTATATGGTAGGGGGTGGTGGATACATATCTCAACATTCACATGGAGGACAGAAGGTGACTTTGTGAAGTTGGCTATCTCTTTATTTTTATATTGTTTCTGCCCCACTTATTTCATTTTCCAAGCGCTCCCCTGACATTTTAATCTATCTTAAGCCTTGGCTACATTATGAGATTTTGTTTCAAAAATCAAAACTAACAAGAATTTTGTCTATACATCAAATTATCACCAAAGAATAATATTGGAAACAGAAAAGAAAAATTACCATTTATTATACAAGGATCCATAATAAAGACTACCAACAGATTTTATAGAAGAAAATCTTTGGACACTAAAAGTCAGTGAGCTGCCACATTGAAAGTGCTGACTGAAAACAAGCTGGAAAACCCCACAAGTGAGAGAGATAATATAAAACAACATGGAAGCTGGAGAGATGATCCAGTGGACAATAGCAGCATACTTCTCTCATACAGGATCTGGATTCAGTTCGCAGCACCCACAGGGAATCTTGCTACTTTATATCACTCCAGTTTAAAGGGATCCGGTCCCTTCTTCTGACTTCCATAGGCACTAGGTATGTAATTAAATCCAAGAAAAACACATGCAAGGAGAAATTTCTTTTTAAGAAAATCTATTAGAGCAGTAAATGCTCTTATGAGACATCTCTCCAGCACCTGCATTTGACTCCTGTCCTTACAGTACCATGTGCTGTATTGGTCTGTAGGGACAGGTACATGAGGTAGGCATGCTAACTCTTTAGATACCAGGTATCTATACAGGGATCCGGTGTACCCACTTCTCTCTGTGAGGAGGGATTCCCCTCTGTATGCTGTGAATATCATTGGTTAATGAAGGAACTGCTTTGGGCCTATAGCAGAGCTATACGGGAACAGAACTAGGCAGGGAAAACTAAGCAGAATTCTGGGAGAAAGGAGGTGGAGTCAGGGAGAAGCCATGTAGCCCTGCTGGAGCTGAATGGAACTTTACCTAGTAAGCCGCTGCCACATGACAATATACAGATTAATGGAGATGGGTTAAATTAATATGTAAAAGTTAGCCAATAAGAAGCTAGAGCTAATGGGCTAAGCAGTGATTTAAATAATATAGTTTGTCTGATTATTTCAGGGCCCTTCTTACTACATCTCTGTGGGTTCAGGATCATGTCCCAGCTTCATTTATTATCAGAGTTGGAGCAGATCTGTCACCTCTCTTCTAGGATGGTAGTGTAGATTAGGCCCACCTGATGATGGAAAGCAGAGTTGAGATAACCCTTCTGGGGACTGGGAGTGGAGTAAGAAATGCTTCTTGATACTAAGAAAAAGCTCCAGCTAAGCAGTGTAAGCAGGAAGCCCCAGAGGAGCCACAGTGAATGGAATCTGCAGCAGAGCCCACATGCTTTCCGTGAAGACTTTTCCTGTGGAAGCCTGGACATAAGAGGGACAGTTGAAGCTGCCCTTTTACCATGGCAGATCTCAAGTATATTGGGGAAGTGATTTCATCCAGATGACTGACTGTTTTATTATTGTAAAGCTCTCCCTGGAACTTAGAGAGACTGGAGGTGAGTCAGATAATACAAGTGTAGAGGAAGTAATTCTGTGGGTTCACAGACAGGTGCTGACAAACCAGGGCTTCTAAAAGCTCAGCAGCCAGAGATGTAGGGTAGAGGCTTTAGTTACTCTCTGCTGTAAGTCATTTTCTCTTTCTGAGATGACCCTGACACAGAAAGACCATCTGTAGACTGTAGACAGAGACTGCGCTTTAGTTTCCTGGTCACCCAGACCCGGATAATTTCACAGAAACTATATATATATATGTACAACACAGTTTGGCCAATGGCTTAGGCATATTCCTAGCTAGATCTTAGATGAACCCATTTCTATTAATCTATGTATTGCCATGAGTCTATGACTTACTTGTAATGTTCTGGCATCTTTCTCCTTCAGTGGACCCAGATTGGAAGCTGAAGATCAGCTTGCCTTAGCAGATGGGGGTGGGTGATGGGAGTGGCTTGTCTCTTAAAGGGACAGGACAGACCATTACATACCCATCTCTTTTTTAAATAAAAATGCAGGAGGTTAGGCACAACAGGTTAAAGGAATTAGGGCGGTAGATTCTCAAGAGTGCTTCCTGCTTATTTGTGGGTGTCATCTTGGTGGGGGGGCTAAGAAAGCTGGGTGCTGGTCACATTCTGGGTAGATAGTCTCTTAATACTTTTTTAAGGTATTGGCAGAACAAAGAACAAAGTTAAGTTTAGGAAAAAAAATTAGGATCAGGAAATTGAGAGTGGTGTATCTGACCTGTTTAAGGTGGATACTTCAATTTGGCTCCCTGGAACTCACAAGAATTCTTTGGGTTTGTGAAAACAGAAGAATTTTACATCTAAATGTCAAATTTGAAGTGGAGAACTTCTAGAAGACACTTGAAACTAGGCCCCTTTGAGTTTGGCAACCTATGTAGTCCTTGGAATTTTTATCTAAGGTTCTGATGTATTGAGAAAGTAAGAGAACACCTTCTCTAAAACAGGGAAATTGCATGGTAGGGTCTTTGGCTGAGGGGTGGCATCAGATCCTGAGAACCCACGTTTTTCTACAGTTGGGGCTGTGGTTATCCATCCCAAGGCCACTGTGGACCTTGTTTATAATGCTCTTGAGTTACCCTGTGTTCCTCTCGTGCAAAATTGTCTAAGTAGCCTCCTTCTGAATTTGTAAAACTGAACCCATTGGTGTTGAATTTGGCACAAATCTCCAGCCAACCTGGATAGGTCTGTCCTAAAAGGGGAAGCCAGAGCTAGAACTACTGTGCATTGTGCCTTCAGCTCACCGTCCTGTCATTCAGGCCTCACTCTCCAATCAGAGCCTCTTGCGGACCCACCAGTCAGATAGATGGGAGGGTACTTCTGGGAGCCAGGCTTCTGGCTCAGCTTGTTTCCTGTGAAAGTCGGAAGTTGCCCTGTGTGTTGTGCCTTGGGCTCCACCGTGGGGAGAAAGCGGGTTAGCTTGGCAACTGCACCATGGTGAGTAAAAGAGCCTGTTCTCCACAGATAGGGAGAAGTGGCTGGCCTTGGTGAGAAAGAGGCTGCTGTCTCTAGACTGTGTGGCGCGGCTGACTGAGCTGCGAGAGGTGGTGTGGTGAGTCCTCCCCTGGTTTGGTGGGAGTCTGGGGGTTAGACAGAGTTCGGCGTGTTCCTGCTGGTTCTGTGTGGTCCTGCGTGATCCTTGCAACTCCCTGGCCCAGGGAGGCAGCCCCTGAATAACCTCACTCCGCCGGCTGCATCTGCACACAGCACTGGGAGCAGGACTGTACTTAGAAATATCCTTGTTGTTGACGCCACTATGAAAGGCGCGCTGTAGTCCTTGTATTGTCAGTGTGGAAGGCAAATTTGCCAAGCTCGGAGAACCCTGGTCTCTAGCGTCTTCCAAAAGTTCTACAGTTTTAACATTTAACATTTAGGTTTCGGATCCGCCTGGAGTTAATTTTGTGGGGCTTGTAAACGATTATCTCCTGTGTAGAGTGTTAGGAAAAGACGAGCAGCTCCGCCGGCGCCAAGAAATCCAATCAGGTCAAATCAAACCAAATTAAAACGCCCGTGTTTTATTAAATGCACACTCTTGGGTGGCCAAGAGCACGAGCAAAATCCAGGACCCACGTGTTCTTCCTCTGGGCGCCCACATAAATACCCGGTGGGAGTGGTCCTGAACCCTCCCTGGAATGCTGGGATTTGGAGTCCAGACCAACGCAACTCCTAGGCCTGGGGGCTGGGATGGATATCAAGGGCTGGGATGATGCTCCCAACTTAACATCACATAGAGTCTAGACTGTGATGTAGAAGAGTAGAATTAATTGTAATAGAATTGATGGTATAAGGATTTACCCGTTCTTAGGAGAACTTAAGTCACAAAGTAGAATTTACGTAAGGGCGGGCTCCATCCCAAATACCCCTAAGATAAGTAGTACACTAACCATGCCTGTTAGAGAATGGTATGGGAAGATGGAAAGTTTGTTAAACAGTAATTTTTTTTTTGTTAAACAGTATTAATCACCTTTAGAGCTGAATTCCCATAACAAGGGAGACAACCCTGATTTACAGTCAGCAGAAAGGCCCATCCCTTTGTTAAAAGACAGGCCTCTAAATGCTGTCAAGGGGCCATTCCAGGTACAGTCAACATTAAGTCCTGGTGCGCCATGAAGGTATACTAATTCTAGAACAGCTGCATCTCTAGTCTTTTTGAAAATCATTTAGAGTCAAGGTCTTTCATATTGATTGAGGTGGACTTGAACCCTGTCTGTAGTCCTACAGGGCATTGCCCTTGGCTCTCCTCCCAACTGACCACCCTCAATTCTTAGTTTACAGGTCTGCAGCACCACAGTTCTAAAGTTACCAGTTTGAGTTGCATAGTGGGCTATCCATTGCAGTAACAGGAAAAGGATTTGACCGTGGAGCATGGCTTCTCCCTGTAGAATGAAAGAAGATCAGTGTGCTGTGTACACTGCAGGGGGAAACCGACTAGACAATAGCTTGATCACAGACTGAAGCTGCAGGGGTCTTCATCATAAAGAATGACCTGAAAGGGCAGGGTGAACAACATTCTGTGTAATTTCCCAGCATGCATTAATTTCTTCCATGTGAATGAAGACAGACAGAATTAATGGGTGTACAATTTAGGGAGGGTAGCTTGAACTATTGAATGTTCAGTTTCTAATTGTGGAACTCTCTTATGCAGATGTGTGCAATCCTGGTTGACACAGTAAGTTAGCTCAGAGGTTTGAGACACAGGCCATTGGCTGGAAATCTGTGTTAGCTTATAGCACTCAGCAGCTAACATTTTACATGGGACAAAGTCATACAGTCTCTTATTAATGGCATTCATTAATGCTGGGAACAATATGACTTCACTGGGGGACAAGGCCTGAGAAAAACATGAATAAGTTTTCCTTTTGGCAAGGCCAAAGAGAATTTAAAACATTTTTGATAAGGCCAATATATAGTTTGCTGTCTAATTCTGGGCATGACTCCAGGAGCATATTGCTACCTGCTCTCCTTGCTTTCCTTACAAAAATTATTGTTGATTGCCTTTAGTGTCACTTTCTTAGAGCGATAGATGAAATGAGTATTTTATTAGGAAAACTTTCCCCTGATGATGCTTCTCTGGGTGAGCCAGAGGGGATGTTGTTAAAAATATACAGTGGATCTGATTCAGCTCTTAAAGCCTTTGTTGTTTGAAGTATTACCTTGAATTCAGGATTCTCAAGAACAGGATGCTGCCTTTCCAAAGCACCTTGTAAGTAGTCTGAAAGAGTCACAGTAGTTCAAGACATGACATATTTGCATGATTGTCCTTGAGAGAATGATTCTAACCACAGGAGTCTAAGAGTAATGCAAAAGAATAAATGATATCAAGAGTTAATAGGAATAATTTAAGAACAAGGAATGAAGTAGTATCATAGAAACCCACAATGCCCTAATTTCTCTGTGTCAATACTGCAGGAGCCAGTGTTGTAGGAAGCTGAGAGGAAGGGGATATGAGAACGAGGAATACCAGCAGTGCCAACTATTAAGAGCAAACTTTTTAGTTATGTAGCTAAAAGGATGATAGGAGGAAGCCTGGTATGTCCCTTATAGGAGACAGCGTAGTATTCAATATAGACTGAGGTTATTCAGCCTTGACTGAGTTGATTTTAGATTTGATTAGAGCTGAAATTCTCTTTTACTTTGCATCATGATGTAACTGCAAATGTTGCCAACTGGACACACTGTTCCACCAGTAGGTGTGCCTAGTTAGTAAATACCTATACTCCTCAAGGTGTTCCACATAATATAAACAGAAGGAACATTGCCAAACTCCTTTTATGAGATTAGTTACCCAGATACTGAAACCACACAAAGACTCAACCAAGAAAGAGAATTACAGATCAATCTCTCTCATGATCATAGATGCAAATGTATTCAATAAAATAGTGGCAAACTGAATCCAAGAACACATCATCTGTGGTCTCTATGTCTACATAACACTTGACCAGGACCTTTTCTAGCTTTCATTGTTTCCACCGAGAAGTCAGGTGTAATTCTAATAGGTTTGCCTTTATATGCTACTTGGACATTTTCCTTTTCAGTTCTTAATATTCTTTATTATGTATGTTTATTGTTTTGATAATTATGTGACAAGGGGACATTATTTTGGTCCAGTCTGTTTGGTGTTCTGTAAGCTTCTTTTACCTTCATAGGCATATCCTTCTTTAGGTTTTCTTCTATGATTTTGTTGAGTATATTTTTCTGGGCATTTAAGTTGGACTTTTTCTCCTTTTATCCCTGTTATTCTTAAGTTTGGTGTTCTAGATTTTCTTTGACCTATGAATCTATTTCCTCTATTGTGTCTTCAGTACCTTAGATTCTTTCTTCCATCTCTTGTATTCTGCTGTTTATGCTTGCATTTGTGGTTCCTGATCATTTACCCATAATTTCCATTTCCAGAATTCCCTCGGTTTGTGTTTTCTTTATTGTTTCTATTTTGGTTTTCAAGTCTTGAATCATTTTTTTTCATCTGTTTGATTGCTTTTTCTTGGTTTTCTCTAAGGATTTTGTTGATTTATTCCAATTTTTTGTTTGTCTTTCCCCCCACTTCTTTGAGGGAATTTTTCATTTCCTCTTTAAGGGCCTGAAACATTTTCCTAAAGTTATTTTTCGGGCATTTTCTGCTTCTTCTGTGTTGAGGTGTTCAAGTCTTGCTGCTGTTAGAGCCACTGATTTTTTTCATGGTGCTGTGTTCCCCTTTGTGTTGTTCAGTGTGTTGTCTACCCATCTTTTCCTCCAATTGGTGTAGTTGGGGTTGTGTCTCTGGTGGTCAGTCTTCCGCGTGCCAGTGAATCCTAGGCTCAGATGGTCTCTCCTTGTGGTGGAGTTAGGGCTATGGTTCCAGTCACAACAGATGTTGCTCAATGGCAGAGCAGAGGTTAGGGGCAGGTAGGTGGGCCTTCCTTGCCTACTGGCTTCAGTGGAAGTTGGGCGTGGGTGGGCAGGCCTTCCTTGTGTGCTGGCTTTGGTGGAGGTCAGGAGTGGGTGGGCCTTCCTTACCTGCTAACTCTAGCAGTGGTTGGGTATGGGCGGGCCGTCCTTGTCTCCTGGCACTGGTGGAGTTCGGGCATGGGCAGGCTGCTGGGCCATCTTTGCTTGCTGGCTCCAGCAGAGGTCAGGAATGGGCGGGCCTCCCTTGCTTGCTGGCTCAGGTGGTGGTTAGTCATGGACAACCAGGCTTTCCTTGCCTGCTAGATCTGGCTAAGGTTGGACATAGCAGGAGGGCCTTCCTTGTCTGCTGACTCTTCCAGAGGTCGGGTGTGGACAGGCTAGTGGGACTTTGCCTGGTGGATCTGGCAGAGGTCCCCAATGTAGTCTTGACCTCCAAAAATAGCAATCCTGCCTCCAGGAATCTCAGAATGAGACTCCAAATCTGTCTTTATAAAGCTCTCATAAGCCCTTTTGTCTGCCTTTCCTCTGGGGTTTCCCTATTATTTTTCAGCAGCCACCATGAGTTCAGCTAACCTCTTACCTTTAAAACCTTCTAGTCTCTGCAACTTATGGTGAATATCTGGTGCTGACTGGTTGACAAAAGCTGGGCTGACTACAGACCAATTCTCTGGTGCTTCCAGATTCCAGGGTGTATAGGTGTTTTAAACTTCTGTCCCCCTCTCAGGGAATGCTGGTGTTTCTTCAGGCCCTGGCATACCTGACTAACTTTGGACAGAAACCCCCATTAGAGTCTGGAGGTGGACTTTCAGCCTCTCCCTACATTTTTCTATGTAGAATCCCAACTGAGTCATATCACAGAAAACCCAACATTTATGAGATCTGATTTGGTGGCCAGTCTTCCATCTGGGCCTGGAACCAATTTCTAAGCTTCTGTTCTAATCCTGTCTCTCTCCTCAGTAGTGAAGAGGACTTGGAGCAGTTGAAAACAATCATCCCAAGTTGGTTGGTGAGTGAAAAGAACTGAATACAACAGGTTCAGTGAGCCTTGCTGGCTTCTCAGAAAACTTAAGATTTTATAATTTCCAGTTATAAAGGTTGCTGGTGACCAAGGGCTGGTGACTAGATGTTGCCTGTCCCCAGCATCAGGTTGGTCCACAGCATGCAATGGAAGGGCCACGGAATTCTCCCCAGCTGGTCACTCCTCCTTTTGAGAATGGGTGTGTATGTGGGGAGCTCCTCCATCCCACCCCCTCTGCCTTCCCATACCTTTCATCCTGGGGTACCTGGGGGTAAAGTGGTGGGATAGAAAAGCACCCTTTCTCCCTGTTGCCTGGAGAAAGAAAGGGTACAGGGGCGTGGTAGGCAGTGGTCTGTCCCCCTCTCTCCTTTAAAGAGAATGACCCCATTCCTAACACAAACATTTTGTAGTGAATCATCAGCTTTTTTTTTTTTAAATAAAATGAACGAGAATTAACATAACATGGCCAAATCTCATACCTCCTCTGGCCTTTTACAACTTACTATACATCCTCAGGTTCCTATCTCTGTTCAGACAGCCTTATCTTTTATTTCTCTTCTCCTTATTATTTTAGTCTCTTGCCTTTTCTCTTACTTTCTAGACATGAAAACTTTTTATCAAAGTTCTTCTTGTGGTTTCCTTTAGTAGTCTAGAATATTGTATGCCTTTAATATTTAAACAAGAATAGCATTCGGGAGGCAGAGGCAGGCGGATCTCTGTGAGTTCGAGACCAGCCTGGTCTACAAGAGCTAGTTCCAGGACAGGCTCCAAAAACCACAGAGAAACCCTGTCTCGAAAAACCACAAAAAAAAGAACAGAATCATACATATACCAAAGCAGAAATAACTCTAAATTTGCATCATCACAGTAAAACTTGTACCATGAGAAACATCTAAGACTAGCAGTAGGGTTTTCTTTTTCACCCTAACCAATGATAATCAGCTTCCCCAGCCACCACAGTGATCAGCCATTGGTTCTCTGTTAGGCACCCAAAGTCCTGCCATGTCCTTATCAAGAATGCTTTCACCCCCTCCAGATAATGAGCCCTAAGTCACTGACTTGGGTTTGAAAGTCCTTGGAGTGGTCCAAAATAAGACTCCAGGGAAGAAGTTGAGTTTGACTGACCCACTCCTAAGAGAAGTAAATGAGGTAACATTACAAACAACAGAAAAACACAAAAATAACACTGACAGAAATATATCAGCACAGCACTTAAGAAAGAAACCAGGAACCAAAGCAGGCTGATGGCATGTCTCCCTGGGGAGTTCTGTTTTGGAACAGGTGTGACCTGTGTTCCCTGTTCAACCAAAGGGACCCTCTGTCCCATCCAGGTGGGCCCAGGACATCTTCCAGCCCACGTGGCCTCTAATGCATCCATCAGTCAAAACCCCAGCCTACAGATTCAGTTAGTTTGAGCCACCCAGATGGGGAAAAAAAAAAACCACAAACCACAGAACAAGGGACAGAACAGACCCAGACACAGAGGGCTCACTTCACTTACCAGCCAGCCAGGTTATCAGACGCTCATCATGTTGGGGTTCTCTGGGGAACTTTATGGACAATGCACCAATTGTTAGGGTCTGAGAGAAGCCTCCAAGGAAAGACCAACAGCCATGTATGTGATAACAAGAGTGCTTTATTGGTTCCAATGTAGCACTTGGTGGCCACTACAAAAGGTCACAAGCTCCTTTAAGCAGAGTTTGGGAAATTTCAGGGAGGAGAGACTAATCTGTGACTGATTGGTGGAGGAAAGATTAGTCTTGGGTCTGATTGGTTAGAGGGAGGTCCTAGTGCTTAGGGACCTTCTAGCAGCAGGGTAGGGAAAGCTATCTTTAGTTATCAGGAGACTGGGGGTCATGTGCTGAGCCAGCAGAAGGGGCCATGGGGTGACTGCTGAGCTAGCAGAAGACTGGGATGCCTGCTCCTAAATTGTGGTTTTTCTGATGACTCTCTGTTTAGCTTTGTCCCATTTTAGTGAACCGAAACTAAGGCCTGATCTCTATTAGGGCTACTAGGAGAGACTGTCTTGGCTCTGATCTACCTCCCCCCCCCCAAGCTTTCTCACTGGTAATGATCTGGGGTCAGGGCTTTGTGGGAGGGGTTGATTCAGATCCTGATAATCCAACTCTTCCCATCACATGGAGCTATGGTTATCAGTCCCAAGGCCTCTGTGGGCTTGGTCAGTGATGTTATTAAGATACACTGTGTTCCCCTTTTACGGCATTATTTTATTAGTCCTCCCTGAATTTGTCCCATTGTATGGTAGTTTCTTTTGCAGCCTGGGAGAGTTCAGCTCTCAGGGCTGCACCCAGGGTCACTAAGAAAATACTTTTTAGAGTAGCAGGGCTTAAAACGATTTCCTATTTAAGAAGATTCATACAATCTGAGGATCATTCCCTTTTATTCTTCTTCAGCTCTAGTTCTCTTCATTGTTTTATTCTCCTTGTTCTCTTTATTCCATTCTGCTCCAATTCTCCACAGCTTATTTCAACAACAAACTTTCTGCAATAAAAAAATTACAAAAACTGAGGGGAGTGAGTAACCATGGCAGTGCCTGAGCTCAAGGTCCCTAGTTTCCCATCCTGAACCTGGGGCCACATTGCCTTGTGAGACACGCTGGTGAGGAATTCATACAGGGAGTGATTGTGGTCTTTATCAGCTAGACTTTTAGTAAGCAAAGAATTGTCATAGTACTTTAGATTGCTTTGTATTAATAGCCTTGGTTAGACATCTACGACTGTCCTTTTTCATGTTTTAAATTACGATGTGTATACAAACCCATTCAGTCTAGTTTGAAATTGCTCTGAGGTTTCAGATCAGCTAAATGTGTGTAGCCTGTCTTAGACTGGGGGAAATTGTTGTTTTCTTATGTTATTCTGAGTGAAAAAAAAACAGTCCTTATGGGACAATAGATCAGTTATGAAGCATATCCTAGCATATTACTGTTCTTCAAAATTATACAGGTTAATGAGAAGTCATCTTCCTGACTATCCATGGATATATGTGTTCACAAGATTGAGATATAATCATGAGATTACATATACATATCATATGAGATACACATTATAGTGCAGATATTGGGGAGATACCACAGTTGTTTCTGCACATGTGAAATTACAGAGAAACAACAGTTTCCAGAGTCAGTAGTTCCATAAGCCTTGCTTGAACTAGGTTCTCCTCCATCAGAGAATTATTCATCTGGTGGGTTGACATCAGAATTATCAATTGCTATCTGCTGCATTTGCATCCTGGCCCACAATAGCTCATGACAGTTTCTGCTGACTTCATAAAAATCTCCCATTTCTTTCCATTCCCCCCTAGAAGTAGTATACACGATATTATTGTTTTTAAGAAGCTTACTTGGTAAGAGGCATAGCTTGTACAGGACCATTTCACCCCAGCCTTTATCTTTTCTACCTTCTCCATTTCCTATCTTTCTCATTTCTGGCACCTCCACCTCAGGACCCTGTCACTGGAGAATAGCCTGTTATTATATGTCACTGTTATACTTAAGAAATAATTCTGGGAATATCTTTGCTGTGTAAATCTTCCATGTGCTAAGTTCCTGTCCCTATTTAAATTGTTCAAAGTGTAACCTGGAGCCTGAACCTAAAATAAGAATGACAGGAAGTTTGTAATGCAAAGTCTGTTCTAAGCTGGCTCCTCTTTGAGCATTAGAGTAAGGTGAAGAAGCATACTAGTACTAAAGCAGTTTTCTTTATTAAACTCTTAAGTGTGTAGAGTGATTTCTTCTTGGGAAGGCATATTAATTCTAGAACATCTGCACTTCCAGCCTTTTAGAAAAATATTTCTGAAACAAGCTCTCCTATGTTGTTGACTCCAGTAGCCTTGATCCCAGTCTGTTGCTCTCCAGGTCATTGACCTTGCTATCCTCTATAGTACACTTCCTAAATTCTTAAATGACTGTACTACCTTGGAATTTTCAAATTTTTAAATTATTAACTACCTATTGCAGTCACAGGAAAAGATTTCCATGAGGAGCATGGCTTCTGCCTTCACACTAGAATAGGGAAAATAGTTCATGGTGTACACTGCAGAGGGGAAACAAGGTCAACAATTAGCTGCTAGAGTCACAATTATGAAAAAGGACTTGATTGTGGCAGGGGGAGTAGTTTTGTAATTTCCAAGCGTGTATTAATTCACGTCCTGTGAATGAAGGCAGACCAAATTGGTAGTTTTTACACATTGAGAAGGTTAGCTTGAGCCAAATAAAGATCTTCTAATTAGGGAACTTTTCCTTCCTTCTTTCTTTCTCTCTCTCTCTCTCTCTCTCTCTCTCTCTCTCTCTCTTTCTTAAGCATACAATGTACTGCTGGCAAGGAAGGCACCAGGTCTCATTACAGATGGTTGTGAGCCACCATGTGCTTGCTGGGAATTGAACTCGGAACCTCTGGAAGAGCAGCCATTGCTCTTACCCTCTGAGCCATCTCTCCAGCCCTAGGGAACTTTTCTGTGCAAATATGTTCAGTCTTGCTTGTCACAAAGATTGGTAAACAGAACTTTGACTGTTACTCGGTCAGGTTACAGATTTCAGCAGCCAACATCTATCAATCTCTTATTAATGGCATTCCCTCTACTAGGCAAAGGACTAATCTTTTTCTAAGTCAATATAGCTAAGTTTTTTATCTTTAAAATGAATCATTTTCACCATTTATAAATGCCAATTACTGGCATCATGTTTGAAAATTTCATTTTTTTTAATTGCATTACTGTGCTAATCTCTATTTGTTTCTGTTCTCCAGTGTTTCTCTGTCGTTAGGAATTTCATTTCATTTTCTCAAGTACTATTGATTTATTTCTGTTTAGAGCAATGCCTTCTCAATCCCAGGCTTGCACCACACTGTCAAGTTGATAATTGACTTGAATACTTACTCCTTCCTCTGCTGTCCAGTGCTGGGAAGACAGTTCTGCAGCTCCTTCCAGGCTGGGCCTTGACTGGTAAGTAAGAAAGAAACATAGACCAGTTAATGTGTGTCCTGCAACATCTCTGGCTTTTATTTGGGAAAATGAAGAGTGACCTGTTCAAGAATTGAGTTCAATGACCAACTTTGAAGCTGATGTAGTCACAGTGCAGAAAGGGAGGGATAGGATGGAGGTTGAAAGCTTTCCTGCTTTGCAGTAGTTGAGGTTAGCAATGTGGATCAGGTAGTCAGGTTTAGATAATCAACAAATATCCTGACTGACCATTTACTGGTGTTCACAGATGAGGGCAATCAAGAATCAGGATAAAATCTGACCCTGTCAAATTACTATAGTTACACTTGTTCAAGTAGACTAGAAGATCTGGCTAAATTATGTGGCTATGATTTGAGATGCACATCCTGGGAGCAAAGGTTGAGTAACCCATCATGTGCTCTCTTTCAAATCCCTAGTCTCTGGAGAACATGGTCATAAAGCCTGTTTCAACTTTTCAAAATAATTCTTTGAGATTATAACTACATCATATATAGTTTCTTTCCTGCCTCTAAGCCCTACCATGACCCTCATTGTTTTCTAACTCATGGCCTCTTTTTGCTTTAACAATTAGTTACACAGTAACAACAGTTACTGTTAGAGGGTGACTTGTGTTTGGCTGTACTGGACATTGAGTGTGTAATGGAAGGTGTACAAGACTGGAAGAATTTCTACTAAATTACAAATTTCCTAGACCATGGCCCTGTCTGCGTCTAGGAAGGGGAGAAAAGGAGTTTCTGAGCTGCAGAGATTTTTCTGTTATGCTTGGTGTTAGTTGGGTGGATAAAATAGATTCCACAACTTGTACCATAATCTATGTTGCAGGAAATAGACATTAGATTATTCTTTGACATTGTTTAGTGTGTAGGGCATCTTTGAGACTGAGTTTATCTGAAACCTCAAGGGGCATGAGAGTTTTCAGAGCCATAGCAGGAGATTACCTCCATTTGTAGAGTGGGCTCTAGAACATGGGCTTCTCTTTGGAAGAAATATCTGTAGCTGGAGGGTCAGAAACATAACAAATTTAATTTTGAGTTAATTTGGTAGGTGTTATAAAGTCTGTTTATTTAGTTTTTATATGCATAGAATTGTAGGTAGTTGGATAACATTGGTCAACATCACACTTTTTCTGGCTGAGCTTCCTTTAGTCTTTTGATTAAAAGTTGACCATATCTTTCTGCTTGTTTTTTTCTCACCATCCTTTTAGTCTTTCACAAATATCGTACACATTCTTAATTGTTGTAACTTTGTTGTAAGTATAGAAGTCACATTGTGTCAATGTGTGTAGTATTTTTCATTGAGGATTCTTTGTGTTTCCACTTTGCATGTAGCTTTGTAATCAGCTTTCCTGTTGTAAATTGTTGGGAATCTTCCTTGGATCATATACAATTCATGCTGCAAATTTACCATAGACAACATCTTAATATTGTTACAGTGTATTTCCAAGGGCCATTAATTTACTTCTTTATTTATTTAGGTTTTTTATTGTTGTTAATTTATGAAAGACATTTAGTTATTGGGTAAAAATACTATGGTGCTGAGCAGGATGCTCAGCAAAAATTCTTCTTGAGGATGACCTGAGTTCATATCCCAACACCTAAGTTGGGAGGCTTATAACCACCTGCTACTCCAAATCCAGGGGATCGGACACCCTCTCTTTAGTGGTTACCTGCAGGCACATGAAAAATTGGTCTCTCATATACAAACAGACACAAAAAATGGGGATAAATTCATTTTCAAAATTTCTTGTGACTTACAAAACAATTAGAAAAAAACAAGTTGCATTGGATATACAATACAAATCATACACTGTTTCTTTAAAAATCTGTTATTGTGCTTTTGGTTTGGAAGACTTTCCATTTCCTTATCTGATACAGACTTACATCCATTCATCTGTCTTGGGAAACAAAAGGGTTTTCAAGTGATCCTAACAAATATCCTTTTCTTTACCTTAAGAAAATGAGGTCCTTTTAGTACACAAATCTGTTTTCTACAAAGTTAAAACTTCAGACGACTTCGATTGCATTTTTCTAGTTTTGGTTGAATATCCCTCTTTGAACAACCCATTTTCTACTATTAGCAAAGGAGAGAACTGGAGTTCACAAGATGAGTGCTAGCCAGTGATTTCTTGGATTTGAATTTTAATTAGAATCTTGCAGTTATTGGTTAAAGGACCATGGTATGTATTTGCAGGTGTAGCTTTGTGTTTTTGTTTGTAGTGCCATCTATGTTGCTGATTTTATTAGTTATCATCTAATCATATTGTTGTTTCTCTGGAAAATGATGGGCCTTCACCAGCTTTTGTATTCAGAAAATTTGCTACATTATATTTTGAGTTCCTTGAGTTTTTGTTAGTTTGGGAACTTTCTGTGGAGAGATAGTTTTAGTTTTCTTGATCTTAGAGGCTTGCCTTTCCTCATTTCTTGTTGTTGCTCTTCTATGGTTGGGTATTTGCTGCTTAAATAATTGCTATGGTTAATGCATTGGTTTTGTTTTTTTTGAATATTTATTATTTGTTTATTATGTATACAGTATTCTTCCTGCAGGCCTCATTACAGATGGTTGTGAGCCACCATATGGCTGCTGGGAATTGAACTCAGGACCTTTGGAAGAGCAGGCAATGCTCTTAACTGCTGAGCCATCTCTCCAGCCCTGGTTTTGGGTTTTTAAAACCAACTCATGTTATTGTCTCCTCATATTAATTAGCTTTATGTGTCAGTAAAGACATCATCTGAAGTAACATCAATTGAAGTCATTCCCCATCAGAATGGCTGGTTGCTCTCTGTTAGACATTGTGTTGATTGATGAGTGCTGTGGGTAGCTCTTCCACTGAGATTGCAATACTCTAAACAAGAGGGCCTGGGATGAATAAAAGGGGTAGTTGAGAATGAGACAAGTGACCAAACAAGAAAAATGTTAGCAAAGTTAGCCCATGTTTTTTGCCTTCAGCCATGAGCTTGAGTTTCCATTCTAAGCTCCCACAATGGTAGATTGTGATCTGGCAGAATCAGCCAAATAAACCTGTTGTTTACCTGAGACTCTTTTGGTCAGAGAATTTAATCACTGCAAGAAATAAGCAAGTTAGAAAAAAAATTGGTGCATCAAAGGTGATTTTCTTATTGCAACCAACCTGGGAATGTTGACTTTTGAAGAATGTTGAATAGATCAAGACTTTAGATGGCAAAAAACATAGAAAGCTTCACACAGAGCTTAATCATCTGTTCTTGTAGGACTTGAAACTTGGGAGTGTTTTGAGTAATGCAGGCAGTAAGTTTTCAGTGGAAAATAGACTTCATGGAAAATTTAGCTAGTGGTCATTCGTATAATATTTTGTGCCAACGTTGTTCTTATTTTCTCTATTCCCTGAGAGATTGAGTAAGGAAGAATTAAAAACTAATTGGGCTGATTTCTTAGATGAAGTATTAATTATGTTGAATAGTTATTACTAATATAACTCATTTAGGTCTATAATGAAAAACAAGTGGGGTAGAAAGAAATGAAAAGTCCGTGTTTTGTAGAGAAAAACAGCACTAGGTACTTTGAGATGACAGTCCAGTAGTGAAACAGAGGTAGGAAATTTCAAGGTGTTTAGCACCATTGAAGAGAAGGCCCTTGCTCTGCATTGGAAGCCAAGGAAGGTACCCTAAGGGTCAGATCCCATCTAGTTAAACTTTCAATTTATGGGAGGAATATACAAAGTGATTCCTCGTCCCAAGAAGCAACTTCATACAGAATCTGCTGCAACTCTGGTCCAATTATTGTAGGGCCCATCACAACTTGGAAACCAAATTTGGTGGCTCAGCAATGTACTAGTTATGGAAACAAGAAAGATGCAAATTTTAAAGGTCATGGATTCTTCCTCTGTGGTTCCAGTTCAGCACTGTTGTACACATCTTTGGCAAAGTCAGAAACCCAGTGAGAAGACTAAGAATTCATTGTATAATTCTCTGAAAATTAAGTCTGTGTTGTATTTTGAGATTATAGGATGTTGAGATACCCAAGCAATAAGACATCCGCCATGGAGAGTTGCATGCAGGTGTGGAAGTAGAAAAGCAGACACAGCTGTGAACATTTTCAGAGACAGAGCTATCTAAGCCCTTTGAGAATGAAACTCCACCTGTCTGTGACGGAGTTACAGGATTTGGTAGTTGCCCTGCTGAGTTCAATCCTCCCTCACTTATCCACATTCCTTTATTTTTTTTTAAAAAGTTTATTCCTCTCTCATGCAATACAAATTGATATAGGAAATTTCAAGGTATTTAGCACCATTGAAGAGAAGGCCCTTGCTCTGCTTTGGAAGCCTATTAAGGTACCTCAAGGGTACCTAAGCCTTCAATTTATGGGAGGAATAGGCATACACTTCTCATACAAACTGAATACAGTTCCCCTCCCTCTACTCCTTCCAGTGCCCTCTCCACTCCCCTGTCCCCCAGATCTACTCCTCCTCCATATCCCTTCATAACAGAGCAGATATAAGAATATCAACCAAACATGGTATAACAAATTACAGCAAGACTAGGCATAAACCCCTGTAAATGGAGACTACTTATTCATTTCTTGACCTCCCAGATCCAAATAATCACTCAAAAACTATGTTGATTACAACATTGGCCAATAGCTTAGATGTATTCCTAACCAGCTCTTATATCCTAAATTAACACATTTCTATTAATCTGTATATCACTACGAGGCTGTGACTTATCAGTAAGGTTCTAGCATTCTTTTTCTTAAACAATTACATGATATCACTTTGACTCCTCCTTTCCTCCTCTATCTCTCCTTGGAATTCCCACCTTGCTATATTCTGCCCTGCCATAGGCCAAAGCAACTTCTTTATTAACCAATGGTAATAAAACATATTCATAGCATACAGAGGGGAATCCCACACCAAATCCCATATGAAGCCTTGACTAGGAGGAGAAAGAGGGTCCTAAGAGCAGACAAAAGAGTCAGAGACACCCTCCCCTTCTCCCACTGTTAGAAGTCTCACAAATACACTAAGCTTCACAACCTTAATGTATATGCAGTGGACCTTGCTAAGACTCTTGAAGTCCCTATGATTGCTGCATTAGTCTCTGTGCACCCGCACAAGACCTGTTTAGTTGATTCTGTGGGATGTGTTTTTTTAGTGTCCTTTAGGAAAATTTTTGACTAAGATGCATTTGAAAATATTCTCTGGGCCTTTGAGCTGGAATTCTCCCTCTTCGTTTCAATTTTTCTTAGCTTTGATCTTTTCATAGTGTTCCAGAGTTCCTGAATGTTATATTTCAGGAAACTTTTTATATTTAACATTTTCTTTGACAGATACATCCATTTCTTCTGTTGTATCTGTATTGCTTGAATTTCTCTGTTCCATGTCTTGTATTCTTTTTTTGAAGCTTGACTTTATAATTCCCATTCGCTTACCTAGATTTTCATTTCTAGAATTCCTTCAGATTACATTTTCTTAATTGCTTCTCTTTCCATTCTCAGGACTTGAACAGATTCATTCATTTGTATCAACTTTTTTTCCTTAGCTTTCTTTAATGTATTTATTCATTTCCTTTTTAAGGACCTCTATCATCTTCATAAAGCTGGTCTTATTGTCTTTTGCTTGTGTTTCATTTGTGTTGAAACATTCAGGGCTTGCTGTCATAGGATAGCGAGAATCTGGTAGTGACATATTGCTCTGGCTGTTGTTGATTGTGCTCTTACTCTGGTGTCTAGGTATCTGGCTTTGAGGTGCTTATGGGTCTAGGTGCTGATTTCTCAATTTGTCTTTGTTGGTTGAGTGTTTTGTTCCTCGGTTTCTATCTGCTCTCTGATCTTCTGGTTTGTGTGGCCTATGGTTACACATGCATTCCCCCCTCCCAAGATAGGGGCTGGAAATCTGGCAGTAGGCGTGGCTATAGTTCCATCAGAGAGTCTCTGTCCAAGTTATGGGTTGAAAAAAGCAAAGAGGGGTGGGTCTTGAGGATAGTGTTTAAGGGACACTGAGAGAGAGTGGGAGCTCTGCAGGAGGGTGGCCTACATGAACTTCTGTCAGACGGTGTGTCCTTTGTTCAAGCAGGGGTCTGTGTCCAAGTTGGGGGCTAACACACAATAATGAGGAGGGATGGTGTCTGGGGGTTCTGATGAAATGCTACAGCAAGTGAAAGCACTTAAGGTATCTGAGGGTGAACAAGCTGTTCCAAACATGTCTATTCTTCTGCCTCTTCCAATTCTTTCATAATTCTAATACCTCCTCGCTTCTTCTCCTCTAGTCTAAAACTTCCTCTCTTTCAGGAAGCTTGAAGCTAAAGAAAAAGTTACCTCTCATTGGTCAAAAGCACATTCCTAGGGTAAGTGATAAGGAATTGAGCCAATGACCATGGCAACAAGGTTTCAGGAGTAAGGCTGTGATCAGAGAAAGCAGGAACACAGTGCACAGTGACAAACTTTGAGACATAGGTGTCTATTTCCAGCTAGACTTAGCAAGTGAAGAATTGGCAAGCCTTTCTTAGGATGTTTTGTGTTAGCAACCTTGGTTTGGACACTTGCAACTCTGACCTTGTTGCTCTGGAGTAGAAACCTATCAAGGTGCCCTAAGGGTGAGACTCCACTCACTTTTAATTTATATAAGGAATAAGCATAGTGTTTCCTACTCCCAGGAAGCAATTTCATACAAAACCTGCTGCACCTGTGGTTCAAGTATGTTAGTGTCCATTCCAATTAAGAAGTCAACTTTTGCAAGATCACCCTTGATGTGGCAGCCCTGGAAACAAGAAAGAATCAAAATTTAAGGTTATGGATTCTTAGTCTGTGGTTTCAGTTTGGCATTGATGCAGGCATCTATGCTTAGGAGTGACAGAAACCCAGTATGGATACTGTGAGAGTCCATTGCATGAAGCTGTGAGGACAAAGCCTGGGTTGCATTTTGAGACCACAAGATGTTGAAATACCAAAGCTGTAAGATACCTGCCATGGAGAGGTAGCTACATATATGGAATAGCAGTACACACAGAGAGATGTATGAGAAGTTTCAGGGATAGGGCTATCTACGCCCTTGGAAACTGAAACCCCATGCATCTGAGACAGAGCTGTAGGATTTGATGTTCTGTCCTGTTGTGCTTCAGTCTGGCCTTCACTATGTTCCCATTCCTCTCTTTTGGCGTGCAAATGGATATTCTGTGCCATTGTTGTATATTGGAAAGATGTAACTTTTTTCTGATTTTACAAAATCTCACAGACAAGAGATTGCCTTGAGTGTTGGAAGATACTTTGGACATTTTCAACAGTGTAGGGGCTGTTGCAGAATATGAAAATCATTGAAGTAGGGGCTGGAGAGATGGCTCAGAGGTTAAGAGCATTGCCTGCTCTTCCAAAGGTCCTGAGTTCAATTCCCAGCAACCACATGGTGGCTCACAACCATCTGTAATGAGGTCTGGTGCCCTCTTCTGGCCTGCAGGCATACACACAGAAAGAATATCATATACATAGTAAATAAATATTTATTTATTTATAAATGCAAT